GTGTGTCCCGTCCGCGTTTCTGCTATTCGCAAGTCTTGTTGCTCTACCGAGGCGGATCTGCATGTCGACAGGAAGAGGAACCATCGTTCGGTCGCGCTCGCTTTTGACGTATGAGGTGATGTTGACTTCAATGCAATTCCTCGTGCGGAGCTCTTAGCGAATTGATTCACATGGGAGCGGAGCCAAAAGCGAGAGAAACGAGAGATAGCGGGAGAGAGAGGAAAAAATATCGAGTATTTCATCTCGAGCCCCGGACTTGACACATCCGATTCGGAGGAGGCTGCGGCTGGCAGCTACGGGCCACGGAACAAGTGACGGAGCCGCGTACGACATAGCTCACTGGACACATAGTTGTCGTTCGAGATCTCTGTTTTGCGAGGAACTGCGCACATGAATCTTTCGGAGTCGAGAGCCCCCCGTCCATCGCTTCGTTTTTCGTTCCTTGAGGATCCGCAGCGATTCCGGTGTGTGCATCCATTCGCCTTCATTCATATTTCGTTGATTGAGCCATCGTTGACTCCGCAATGATGGGATGCGACGATCGCAATCGGTCAGGTCTCATATTAGACAACGTTCCGTCTCTGAGATTCATCAGGATCATCGTAATTGGACGGAGCTCTGGCACGTCGACGTAAGTCCTGGAGGAATTGATGAATCAGGAACACTTTAATGGCCAATTCGTTAGATGGATCGAGGCCTTCTCAAACACCAGGGTCGAGCCCCGGTCCCGCTTCGTGCGGATCTCGAACCCTTCGGAGGGTATTCTCCTGTTGTGCTCTCTTGAATAATTCGGGGTCTGATCGATTTTCTGCTCGCCGGTTCTTGATTCCTTCTCGCTCTACCCGCCAGTTGTTCCTCGTTTTTCGTGTTTTCGTGTTCTTCTAGACACCTCTCCATGACCTCATTATGAGCAAGCTCCCGCGTCGAGCCGATCAGCTGATCTACCACGTACGAGCGCAAAGTTTCAGACCTCAAAGTGCGTGTTCCCTCCTTTTTAATTATTGCGGAGCGAGCTCCGTGTCCTCCTTCCCGTTCAAAGTCCTCGAACTAGAAGAAGCCGGGAAGAGAACGCCATCGGCAGCTCTCCGCAGAGCGACATTCTCGCCGACCTGATAGAGTCGAATCACTGGAGCCTGCAAGCGAAGACGCTCGCTCTCGCGAAACGACCTCCAACGTCTTCGCGAAACACAATATTTCCTCGAGTTAGCCTTCACTTTCTTCTCTTAGCTACCGCCGCCAAGCTCGCTCGTCGATGCTATTCTTGCCTTCGGATAGAGGGGAACTTTATTAGGTTGCTTTTGCCGGAGCGAATTCATGCACTTGCGCCCACCTTGAGACAGCCAGCCAGCCAGTCGGTCGGTGGGTCGGGACGACGTCGGGGCTCTTGAGTTTGCCAGTCTTTCGGCGAGCCACAAAGCCGCTTATTACGAATGAATTCCAACAATGGAGACTACGCGGAAGGGAGAAGCGTCAATTGCCTTCGGCATTCGGGAAGGAGAATCTCGGATGTGGTGTTGCAGCGGCGAGCGGGGCCGCAGAAGCCGACTCGGGAGGAAGATGCAGCGGTGAAAAAGAGCGAACCTAGCTTCGGGAGGTAAACGTCTTTTACGTTTGAATACCTTCAAATTGGGCGATGCTGGCTCGTTTTCGGTTCGTGGGGTTCTTTTTCCTTCGACGGCACCACCACTGTCGCCGTCCCGGCCGCGACTACAAGCAAGAAACCTTCAAACGAACGGAGGAAGGAAGGAAGCAACCAACCAACGCAGCATCCCGAGCCCCGATTCCGAAAACGCGAGAAGCGAGAACCGAACCATCCTGGAGAACGCCGTCTTCGACGACGTCGTCCTTGCTGTTGTTATTGGTGCTGCTGCTGCCGCCGCCATCGTATTCGGCCGCATTATTTCCTCGGGTCTCGGAGAAGTCACAGATTTTCCAATGGCCCCGCAGAAATATCGCCTCGCGACGTCAAAGCAAACAGATATCGTGAATATTAGAATGGGTGTTCACAAATTTCTCCGCCCGTCTTTCCCAACTGATGAGAATATCTACCCTTGAATCCCTCCCCCACCCCGGCCGTACAAGCATTTACGCGCTGGAGAAGACGTCGACATCATTCCTCGGGGATGATGTTAAACGATGTCGCAAAATACGCGCTCAGCTGACAAATATGCCGATGGGTCTCTGGGTCATGCGAGTCACATGCTTCTGGGTTTCCTTGTGGAACTGATCACACACGGAATCTCTACAAGAACCAGGAACATCCCGAAGAGTTCTTTCCCCTCCCGATCTCTCTCCGGAAGCCTCGGCACTGGAACTCTCGAATCTCCGAGTGTGGGTCTTCCTCATCTGGATGGGAACGGGTCCGGCTGTAAGGTGACACGGAGCCATCGATGAGCGCTGCACACGAATTTAGCGGAAGGAGCGAGCCATGTTGACGGCCCAGGACCGGTCACATGCAGTAGGAAGAGCGGATTCGGGTCGAGGGACGAACCACCGGACGGGGCTGGGATGACTCGGAGGAACAGGAGGAAAAAAACCGCGCCGGAGTGAGGCCGAGAAACTGCGAGGGCCGCCAAGAGCACGTTAGAGAGGGCAGGGGAGGGGGCGTTGCTTGCATACTAAACAGCATAACATCTCTCCCAAGAAGACGGAGAGGAGTCCCATGGCAGAATCCGGGACGCGATGAGCAATGAACAAATAAGGGAATGACACACGCAGTAACCCACCGGCCGTCAGCGAGCGGCCGAGTGAGGAGGATGCCCCGGAACGAGGACCTTACCCCGACCAAAGAAAGCTAAGCAAGCAAGCAACAAGAAACTCCTTCCCCAATTAGATGCGATCGGGCGTGACTAAACAGCCATCGTGTCGGTCGACGGGATAGTTCAACTTCGTGCCGAGATCCGCTCGGTCGCTGACCACAGCCATGGCTCGATCAGAGTGTGTGATGGCGTCTCTCCACGACCTCTGGGGTCGAGATGCTAATCGACAGATGACGATGATCCATGATGGTGATTCTGGCGCAGATTGCTGCATATCATCGTCCTCACGGCGATCTTTGTCGCCTCGCGTGTCGAAAGCCCGAATCACATTATGGATTCGGAGGGATGCGGCAGGGGACTGGCAGCTACGGAGCTGTTGCTGCTGACGTTTTGTTCCTGATTGCATCACCATTCGGGTAGGCGGGCTATGTTTGCTCCTGTCTGTGTACATACTAGTTGTTAGACGATGCTACTTTGGCCCGTCCGTGGTGACAAGGCCAGTCATCCTGGGAACAAGCAAAGCTGCTGCTCCGACCTTTCTCTCTGACGCGACCACTGATGGTAGGCGTCAGCCGTCAACTATCTGAGTGATCTTCACTCTTTCTGTTTTTTTATCGAACGGACGACGAGTCCCAGTCTTGTTTATCCGGCTGGCTGGCTGTCTGGTCGGCCGATCGGTCAACCCGGGGCTCGTTGCGGGACCTGCGATATGTCTCGGATCTCCGGGGGAATACCCTCGATGGGGGAAGGGTCCCGAGCCGTCGGATACTTCATGAAATTTCCTGAAAGTCAGATCAGATTTGGGTAAGAACAACTTCTGAAGAATCGAAGACGGGAGATGAGGTTTTCCCGGGTGTCTCCCGACAACTGGTTTTGGCTCCGGAGCCGACTTGAGCGGTGTCCGCTTGCCAACATAAACATAACTCATCTTCAGACCATGGTAACCCGATCCGGACACCCGACACCAGCTCCGAGCCGAGCTTGGTGCGACGACCAGGCAGAGTCGCGATGGCGGGCGAGGGGGATGGGTCGAGGGGGCAAGTAAGAGTCCGTTGGATACGATAGCGGGACTGCGGCCGAGCCAGTGGAGTAGAACACAAGAAAGAAACTCGCACGGTTATCATCTATTCGTGGCAAACACCATCGGAGCGAGGACGTGCGGACAAGCGACGACGAAGACGAGTATATTAGCGGACGGACGCACCGACCGCGTGAGCACGACACACGGACGGCGGCGGTGTCAGGCGACTCAATATTTGTATATATTCGACCGGCGGCGTAATAAAGACGCATGTCGTGTCGACGGAAAAGGGAATCGGAAGGGACGCTTGACGGCGGCGGGGGAGCACGCAAGCAAGCACAGGCTTGGCGGGCTCGCCGAGACACGCACGCACATGCCGGCGAGCAAAAAAGAGATACCAAGACGCCGCCGACAACGAGTGCGGGACTTCTGGTGTCCCGGCACGGCGATGTTCCGCAGCTGGGTTGCTGACTTGCTTGAGTCCCATCTGACTGAGACTCTTGGTTCGTTCGTTCTTCGCTCGGTCGGTCTGTCTGTCTGTCCGTGCGGATCCTGCTGGCTGCTGCGTCCAGCTCCGGTTCGGTCGTCTCGGCGTTGCCGGCTCAGTGAGTACGGCTGCACATCCGCTCTGTTGGAGCGGGAATATGAAGACCCGGTTCGACGGTCCGGCCATCGGCCGCCTGCGTGCCCGTTCGTCCGGGCGGCGGCGGTCGGTTTGTCTGTCTGGACATCCGTTTGTCCGAGCGGGCTCCTCCGCCGGATCGGGTGGCTCGGCGGGCTGGTGAGCTGACCGGTCTTTCTGGTAACTCGAGAATAACTTGATGCACTTTTAATGACCTCGCTGCCATTATATTTCGCGGTTTGCGGTGCGTGGGTTCTCAATATTTTCACGCTTCATCTACTCCCTCACCTGATGCCGGTCTCTTTCGTTCCCCTTTGTTTCGTTGGGAAGGAATGCCGAAGTGAACCCGCGCGGCGAATTCCACATCCTTCCCTTGACGCTCGGGAGTCGATTTATTTTTTGTTTATTGCGTGGATTGGTGCGAGCGTCCTCTCCCCGAGCTGTTGGTTTCGCCGACGGTCGTGTCATCGGAGGCGGCGGCGGCGGCGCACACGTCAGGCCGTATCTCAATTCTCGGTCACCTGTATCGATGTATCAATCAATCAACTCGTAAGCCTGTCAAAACGTCTAAATTCCATTGGTCGTTTTCTCTTTCCAGCGCTGTCCAAATCGAATTACGAGATGCGTTTCGAGAGCGACAAGCACGTCATCCGAGGGAACGCAGCGTTGCTCCAATGTCCTGTCCCATGACACATGGGCGACTTCCTCAGCGTCACTTCGTGGCACAGAGCCGATGGATTCGTCATCACCCGAAGCCTATACGGAGGTGAGTTTTCGGGACGTTCCGTGGACGTTAGGGGAAGCGAACGAGTTAGGTACTCGAGTTCCAGAGATGGTGCGAACGCGGAGCTGACGTGCTCAGAATATTCAGAAACTTCGATTTCAAATCATCGCTTGAAAATGATAAAGCCTCGGAGAACGTCCGAGGCGCGCAGCCGCGGACAGCGATACGAAGCTCAGATAGAGAATCGAGGCGACTCCCGTCTAAACTTCCCTCTCGAGCGAGCAGGAGCTGATTGCCTTGATAACCGCAGCTGGAACACCCCATCGTTAGAACTGAATTTAAGAGTCGCTTACGGTCGATCGAGAGAGACCGAGCTCGGCTTCGGGAGAAATTGATCAATTCTCCGCTTAAGCGGAAGATCCGCGGCTCAAAATCCCACCCACCAAATGAGAACAAAGATCCGCAATCGACCACACAGACGGGAAGCTGCCCCGACCCGATGCCCTTCTTTCCTTTGCGACCTTGGACGTATTGCGAGTTTGAAGACCTTCTATGATATCCGGCCAAAGCTTCGAGGAACTCGAATCCGTCCGAAAATCAAACCGACTTCGCTCGCACTGAGCTCAAACTAGAATATTTGGTCATTCCTACGGTGAATACGGGACGCTCGCGTAGGTTCTCGCGCGATCATCGGATCATCTAGATGGCATCGATGAATTTCCGTATACGGGAATCATCCGTTTGTTTCTAAAGATTACTTTGTCGGTGTCGGGAGCGAAAAAGCGCGGGACCTTCTGACAGAGCGCGTCCTCTCGGGAAGCAAAATCGGTTCTCTTCTCCGAGGAGGAATCGGAAAACTCGGAGACGCGAGGGCACGGCAGGTTACGAACTTGCCTGACGCTATGTTAGTGATTTCGGCGAGGACAGATCGCTTGTGGAAGAGTGCTATCGAACGTTGCTACGGGTCTTGATTGATAGAGTCCTCTCTCCCTCTCCTCCTCTCCTCTTCAACTTATTTCCCCCTTTTTCTTTTCCTACGCTTCTCCGCGCCCTCAAGCCCATCCTCGACCAGACTCCTGCCAGCTACCTCCGCCTACTGCATCGAGCCCCCTTATTCCTCTCGCCCCTCCCGCCGCCCCCTTGCTCTCTCACAGCGTATCTCCTCCCGTTCGTGACGCGCTCTCCCACTCAAAAATAGTCATTCCCCCCTCCCCTCTCCTCGTTTCCGGGATGACTGGGGAAGAGAGGGAGAGCGGGGTGGAAAGGAGGTTTTTCAGACTGTTCGGAGAGGCCGCTCAAGTCTACTTGAAGAGTTTTTGATAACGAAATCGCTGGCGTACGGTGATGCTGCCGCCGTGCCGGTGCTGCTGATGTTGATGCTGCTGCCGCTGCAGTCCGCCGCCGGTTCTTTCTGCTCCGTGAGTAGGGCTGGTTGATCTTTTCTTCTTCCCAGCTATGCCCTCTGGCATCTTCCCGAGCATCTGCACAGCCAGCGTCAGACTGCTTGCTTGCTCGCCTACCTACCCGCTATCCTGCATTCAGGATCTCTACGGATGACGCAAGCTCGTCGATACCATCAGCAAGACTCGTTCGCATCCTGTTCCCGTCGGGGTGGCCACCGTCGTTCGACTATCGGCTATTTCCATAACGATCAAGCAACGGCGTTCTTTGGCAAGCTCAAACAACAACAACGACGACAGCCGCCGTCACCGCAACAACAATAACACTGAAGCCGGTCCCCCGCCTACCCACGAATTCGAGCGAGCAACCTGAGGATCTCGTGCATAATATATTCGAGGCGCAGCGGAATCGCACGGAATCCCTCTCGGATATGGAAGCAATTCTCAGAAATCTCCGTAGACACCCGCGTTCGCGAGATTCAAATCGAATGATATCGATAGGGGTAGCGTGTCGGCAGCTATTCCAGGAACTCGGGTCGGGATTTCGATAAGATCGGAACCGAGAGCTGGAATGGAATATAATTCCTCGAGGATAATCAGAAAATGATCCCGATGCTCCTCCTCGAAAATTTGCTGTGGTCTCCCCCAACCTAGCGCGGCGTCGGTCAGCGAGATAACGCAGTCCGGTGGAGGTTCGCGGCAGCGATGGGGTACGTGGTGGTGTCATTCAAGCGTTGCGCTATTCGAGCATCCTCAGGAAAGTTGGAATTGCCTCCATCCGTGCATCGCTTGGATGTTGACTCGGTGGAGCCGCTCCGCAGCCTTACTGTGTTGCTCCAGGTCCTGACGAAGGCCAATAGTCGGACGAGAGATTTGCATATTCCGGCGCGTGGATTTCGGCCCTGGGTCCCCATCTCGACGCTGAAGATGTCGGCGGCAATATTATTTCAAGGAAGACCAGTCACACCGTGGAGCTCTCTGGATATTGAGCGTAATTTCCAAGATGAAGTTTTAAGCTCACATTGATAAGAATCGCGGGTCGGAATTTTCTGCTCGGATCCGATGGGTGTTCGCTATCAAAAGTCATTTATTCATGTGACTTGCTCGTCTCGGGCTCGTCATTCATCCGCGTGTGACGGGGTTTCAATCTTTCCCGAATTGATTATCCCGCTTGGGACTCCCCCTGGACCGAAGCCGACAAGAGGGACCTCGTGTATTCCCCGGCGATCCGATTTGGAATCGCTGAATTCTCAACCACCGTGCGTTCGAGTGGACGGGAATTCTTCCCTGTCAGAGCGAAGCCGCAGCAGTCTGCCGCTCAATATCAATTCCGTGCCGAGTCTCAGAGGGCGAAGATTATCCATCTATCCATCAATCAATCAATCAGTCATTCCGCTTATCTAGCTGGCCCGAGACAGATCATTTTCATTCGAATTGACGTCGCTTGCTGTCGCGCGTCCTGCATAAGAGATGTGACAGTCGGATCAAGTCAGCTGTCACCGCGGCCGAGGACCAGTCAGCAGGCGACTCGCAAGTATGCAGGAAGCCGCGCAGTCAGGCAAGCAAGACGGCAAACCGGGCGACCGGCTGGCGTTTCGAGCGAAGGCGAGCCAGTGACCCGAGAAATGCCCACCGTGAAGGTGCGACCGGAAGGGAGTCTCTGACAGCATCCTGAATTATGCCGTCATAAACGTCTTTATTCTGAACAGTTACCGGCTCTGCTTCTGTTTCGGAGGGCCAGTTCCCGCATGGAAGCCGGAGCCGTGGCATTCTCGACCTCTGAAGGTCGTCCGACATCTCAGTCGATCCATGGCGGGCACGTTCGGGGTCGGAACCCCGGAGTTCAGTCTTGAGCCATACGACGGAGGCCCACCACGGATACTTTAGGCGGAAGGCGTAAATTAAACCGTGGAATGGACGCAATGTCTAATTTGTAGCAGGTTCCGTTCCAGATCGCTACCTGATCACCTCTTCTGGCGATCTATACATCCAAGAAAGTCAGAAGATGGACACGGAGGACATGAGGAAGTTCAGCTGTCAAGTCGAAGATCAATTCAACAAGCGGCGATCGACATCAACGAATTTTGTGAAGCTGATGATTCTCGAACCGGTTCAGAGTCAGGTTCCGGTGGTCTCTTACCACAGTAAGAAAGTCGTCACCGAGGTGGGCAAGGTGACTCATCTCGTGTGTCTTTCCGAAGGATTCCCCGTTCCCAGTTACCGGTGAGTGCCGCGTCGGTCGCATGCTTTGCTACGTTCCGTTTCGAAAGAGTTCGTAGAAACACAACGAGACGCGAGCTTCCGATATGGACGAAGGAGGGACGAGGGGGCGGGGGCATGAAACTTTTGTCTGTCGGAAAAGGCTGCGAGGTTGGTAGGTGGGCAGGCGGACAGATACATACTCGTTTGATGATCGTCGTCGTGGCTTAATCGCCCGTCCCCTGAAAGCGGAGGCGCTGGAATTACGCGAGGAAGCCTCGTCATGGGGCCATTCTACCCAAATCCAGAAAAGGAAGACAAAGAGCCATAATTTCGGTGCGTACCCAGTTTCCTCGATCCGTCGCGTGTTCGTCCACCGTGGCGAGCGCTCTTTTCTCACGCTCATTCTCTTCATTCGTAGTGCATTCCTATTATTTCTGCGATCGTCGACCGCCTCTATCGCGGCACCGCGCCCTCGTCATGAGTCGTTGTTCTTGTTCAAACTCGGCGAGCTCGATCGAGCGACGGCTGACGTCCTTCCGCTAGACTCGGTATCCCATTCAAAAACGGCAGAACAATTCAGGGAAGACTCCCATCTCAATGGCTTTTCTGCTCTCCTTTCTTCTTTTCTCTCCAGTCGTCGTTTCGGTTATCTATTTCCTGCAACGCATTCCTCTGTCTACCTGGAACTAGTTCATGATGGGAAACCTTTCGTTCTCGTACGGAGGATGAGACGAACAGAATGAATTGACGGTCGGGACTGTCTGCGCTCATTCAAGCGCTTCCAGTGGCAAAACTCTCCATGACCGGCCACACGCATCCGCTCGGGAAACTTCCCACAACCATCGACATCGAATCGACACCTCTGTTCCAGCGCTCTCCTCTGGGAGTCCGAGCCTTCTCGTTGTGCTCCTAGGATCATTTAGATAACGGGAATCGGGAGACTGGGTTTCTACGGGCGCGAGCTTCTACCTCTCTGACCTAGAGCGTTCATACTTGGACTCCCCCACGAGTCAGTGGCGTACTCCGCAGGGCTCGACTCACATACGTATGAGCATGTATGCAGACTAACAGGCGAAGAACCCCTCTAGACAAAACCGAGAACAGCCTATCAACTCCCCACCCGTTGAATAGAGTTCTTGTGGCACCCACTTTGGCTGACTGAGTCTTTTTTCTCCCCGTTTTGGGAATAGGACAGGGAAGAACTTATTTGAGAAACTAATTTGGCACAGGGAGCTGCCGGCGGAATCAGCGAATGAATTTGAGGAATCAAGAATCTCCTTCCTCCGCTCGGGTCAAGCAGTAGAGCAGCAGTTAGTCACTGAGTGAATGAGTCAGGCACGCAGGCAGGCAGAGGCAGGCAGGCGAGCGAGCAGGATCCTCATGCTACGCAGTGGGTTAATAATGCAACAAAAGGTCCCTCAGCTTTTCCGCTGACTTTTCCTCGGTATCTTTCACTCTTATTCATTGTGTGCCATAGCCAGGTCCTGAGAGGGAACAACAGGGAAGAGAAAGTCGGGGACGCGAGAGAGCCTCTGACGTTCGAGATCGATTCGAGTGATCCTCTGTGGACGAGGATCGTTCGAAAAGGGGCCCATCCTCCTCTCAGCCTTTCCGAACCCTTCCAACTCCCCGATGCTCGTATTCCCTTAGAGATAGCTTTCCCCATGTTTCCGTCCTCTGGTGCATTCGACTTCGGCCATTCCAAATTGGGAAATTTCCCAAGGCTTCGGGACTCTGCGCATAACGGAATGCGTCGCGGCAAGACGGTAGAAAACTGAAGGCTGGAATACTTTATGAAAACATGGGTAGAGTCCCCCTTTCACCCCAGACCCTAGACCCCAGACCCCAGACGGATGGGGTTCCTCGAGCTCGCAGCGCAGTATCTCGGGGAAAAAACGGATCCCGGTGACGACGACGGCACTGGGCGGCTTCTCGGATACGACTCGTTCTCTTCGCGTGACAGTTCAACCTCTGATTGACATTTGAGTTCGCAAAGGTCCTCGATGATGACAATCCTGAGCCTCGGGGTTTATGCCTCTCTCGAAGTCTCTCGGTGCTTCTCCTCCGGCGCAAGTCGCACGAGAGATACCCGAGACTCTTCCTTCTTCCGGACAAGTCACATAAAACACTGACGAACTTGAACGGAGAGAAATGACTTAAAAACGCAAATCCTCGAATCCGCATTTTTTCCATAGAGAACTGCTCGTCTGACCGTTCTCGCTGCTCTAATAACGCTGTTCCCCCCCCCCCACTCCTCGCGCCCCCACCTCTCGTCTTTTCTGCGCTCTCATTCCCCTCCGGCCGAGTCTCTTTTTCTACCATCCGTATATTTTCCGTCGGCCCCACTCTTTCGTCTTCACTTGTGAATTCTGTCTTCTATCGAAACCGTTCCTCCTCAGCTCGTAGTCGTACTCGCGAGGTTCGACGTAGAGAGGAGAACTCGGACCCTCCTGGAGCTCATCTCGGCCAGTCAGATCGCGTACTTTCTCTCCAAAGAGAGAACTAAGCTCCACTCCACCCGTGTTCCCTTTCTGATCGGTTTGTTCAATTGTCAGAGAGCTATGACCAGAGATAGAGAAACAGAGAAAGGATCAAGAGGCCGTCAAACATGAACAGTGTGAGAGCCGAGCGAGGTGCTGAGTGTCGACTGTTCATCAGGCGAGCAGAACGCGGCGCTCCCCACTCTTTGCGTTGAGATTCCCGGCTAATAATGCCTGAATGGAGCATAAAAACATCTCAATTGATCACCTGCCCTCCCAGAGAGCTCTCTGGGACGCCCGCCCTCCCGCTAGTTTCCATGCAGTCAGCCTCGCTAGCTGATAGCTGTCTCTATATTGGCAACAGAGGATCTTCATTAGAATATCCTCGTTCGTTTCTGGCACGTTGTGATGTCCACGGTTTTCGGCTCGCATTGAAGCGCGCCGGAAAACGCGACCGGACTTTGGAACCGGCGGTTTGGGAGCTGGAAATTTCCAACTTCGATCCCATCTCAAAAGCACCCCTATGATAGTTTGTCCGGATGTTCCTGGATTCGGAACCTTCCCAGAAATCAATAGACCCCCGAAATCCTCGAATGCGACCGAGTTCTCGAGGAGCGGAACGACAAACAGAAATGAGTAGAATACCAAGGGGGAAATTCCGCCGACGATTTTCCTGAGGGGACGAGATCTGCTCGAAAATGGGAGATTCCCCAGCTCCCGAACTGATCCACGCAGAGCTCATACCGGCGAGGCCTATCTCTAATGAATGCACACGCCGGCAGGGCGGGAAGCGCTGGGAATCGATAGACGTACCGATCGACAAAACTACGCTTCTCATTCAAACAATGAACGCTGACCTGGTTCCTCGTTCGTTCGTTCCGCGGGATCACGTCTCGCAGTTTTGATTACCGAGGTCGGCGAATTCGCTTATATCTGTTCGCTCTTTGAGCTCACGTGGAGGATGTACTCTCGTTCCACCAGTTCTTCCATCTTCCATTCGGGGGGTCAGTTCTCAGCTCAGAAACTTCCTCTCGTGCCTTGTTTCGAAATTAATGAAAGACCCCCAAGAGCTCTCACCGAGAAAGCGAATTTGCGTTAGGAGTAGACTCGACGGCAAACAAAAAGTGGAAACTTGTTCCTCTCATCGTATTCTACCAACCTTGAAATATGGACGTCTTCGGACGTATTCTTGGACCGGGAGTAAGCTCCTCGCGCGGAAAAGGAATTTCTCAGACGAGTTTCCTCTTGCGCCTCGTAGGAGGAATGGAGAGGGATCAAATGAATGTTAGTATGAGGAAGGCGATGTTAAAACCCTCAAGAAGCTCAGAGCAATGAGAGGAGGAAAAATGAGGAAGCGTCGATAAACTTCGTTGAGGACCGGAGGCTACACGATGCCTGGACGGGCGAGGAGCGGGGCGAACGGGACGCAGGGAACCCGAAACCCAGAGATGAGATGGGAAAAAAGGAGGAAGCAATCCAGTAACGAGAGAAGCTGCGGCGGACGCCGGGCGGTGGCCACGAAAGTCTGCCAAGGACGATGTGGAACGAACGGGAGATAATCAATTCGCGTTCATTCCATTACGTGGACTACTAATTACGAAAGCGAAAGCCTGTCCTTTTTTGTACGCCTGTCCGCTTCCTCTCTCGGTCTTAATCTCAATCTTTCGTCCGCTCGCTCGCTGGCTGGCTCGCGGACCCGCCTGCCCGTCCGCCAGCCTGCCTGCCGGGCAGTCCGCCTGCTCGTCCGCTCGGTGGGTTGTTCGGTTCCAGCTGGGCTAGTCCACGAGTTGTTGGGCTTCCCGGCAGGAACAACAGCTGCTGCCGTCGCCGTTTTTGGTCTGACCGAACAGTTTGTTGTGAGGTTACGAAGCACTTCACCGCACCGGTCGATCGGCGACTTGGTCTATTGCCTCGTCGGACGCTCAGCAGGTACCTGGTGGGTGTGGGCCGACTCGCCGGACAGTCGGTGGTCGGTTGTCCCGTCACTCCGAGAGTTCCGATAAGTTCGTCTGAGCCGCCATTCCAATAGGATGCCGTCCGGATCGTCTCTCTCGCAGAGCGTGTGTCCCCCCGGCTCAAAGCTCGGTGCCACGTTTTTTCCTGATCGTCCTCCGCTCCGTCGCGGGAGCTTTCTGACCCCCTCCGCAATTGACGTCAGAAAGCGGGTTCTGGCTGCGGGAGTTTTCGGGAACAGGTTCAAGAGGTGAAGCACCGGCCAGTGAGGGGGAAAAACTCAAACCGCCCTCAGCACGAAAAATTCGTTGAATCTCGCCGGATCTCCGTCGACCTGCTCGTCGATCCGTTAGCCCGTCCTTCCCTCGGTCTGGGTCAACTCTGCTTGAATTCATTTCGAGTCGGCTCAAGATGACGACGTCGGACATAATTTGGATTTTCATTACTTCATTTGTCTTGATTAAGGTCGCCGACGGTTGCTGCACCGACGGCCGATGGATTTCTTGGTGGCCGGGATTGCGCAGCACAGGTTTCGACGCAGATCCGTAGGGACTCTTCCGCGACAGTGTCTTGTGCCTGCGTCGTCGGTCGGTCTCCGTTCGTCCGTGAGATTTTATCGGCCGGTGTCTCGCTCTTGTCCCGCTGTCCCAGCGCCCTCCCAATGTCGTCTTCAGTATCTCGGCGACTCACTCTCTCGGTTTGTCCGTGATTCTAAGCCGAGTTGGAGCCGGCGCTGGCTGGACAAAGGCTCGCGGGAGGATCTTGGCATTTCCGTTTCCGGCGAGGGACCCCGTCGTCCTCAGTGTTGTGAATTATCGGCGGTCCTGGCTCCGCCGTCCGTTGCTGGTGGGGTGACAGCTAACTTCACAGCTGGAGGTTATCTCCTGGCCGGCGCCGTCGTCCTCCCGGTTCCCATTGGTTCCTGGACCCTGACTGGTTCTCCCCGGGTTCGAGTTCCATCTTTTCATTCTTTCCGTTCGCTTTAAATCCCGCCGCGGCGAGAATTCACTAAGTCGACCGAAAGGATTCAACTTCTTCGGCCCGACACAGGAAGGGGAGGAGATCAAATCGTCAGAACGCTTTTCCCCGTCTGTCGTCGGCGTTTCAAAGGGAATTATGCGATCGGTAGTTCGGGCTCTGCATAGCATGAGTAAACATAATTCACCGGGCGCCTTGAATCCGGGAACTGGATCCAACATTAGAAACCGTCCCCTCCATTCGAATTTGAGTTTGTTTTCAAGAGGTTCGCCGGATAGAGGAAAAGCGAACGAACGGAGAATGATAGATTAACAGCTCAATATTTCTACGGCTCCGGTCCGATGTCACTTAATCAAAGCTGTTGCGAGCGCTCGATCTCCCTGTCGGTCCTCCGGTTCGTTTGAGTTCGCGCAAATTGAGCGGTGTACGCACACTCAGGTACTCCGGGATTACAGAGGGTCGGTACGAGAGGCTCGGAGCGAAGAAAGATTCGAAAAAAAAGTCAAACGAGCGAGAGAGAATGACACATGCTCGGGACCTTGGACGTGAAGAGCATGAGGCAGCGTAGGGAGCTCCTTCCCGAGGTAACGGATCGAAATGCACGAACAACGCTCATGACACAAGCGAAAATCCTTACGTCCGTCCCGAGGATCTCAGAAAATCCTTGGGGAAGCTCGAGAGAAAATCGAAAGTCGAATCAAAACGAACGGGGTGTTGAGATCGGGCTGATATGACGATATGCTCGAGCTATCCTGCACACGTCTCGTCAAACCGGCGAGAGAAGCTTTGGCTGTCGCCGAGCCGCTGCGAGAGGTATCCGAAAGCTTCGCCGCCGCCGCATTTTCCCTTCCGTCAAGGTTGTTCGTTTAGCGAGCTTTGGATATTCTCTTTTGGGGGAATACGCGCAGGCGCTCGCCGTGTGGGAGCTCCGTATCCCCCGTAATTGCGTTTTCTTGATTCCTCGCGACGTCGTCGTCGAAGACTTCCTGAACCCCTCGGTACCTTCACTGCCGATGCTGTTAAGCCTTCATTTCAATACGGTTTTTTCCTCTCGCTTAGTTTTTGGGGGTTGTGCCTCCGATGCTGTGGCATCATCGTCGCGTCTCTCCGTGCGTTCGTTTTTTTTCTCCGTTAGCTGCTAATGGTATTCCGCGTGATGTTTGTAGTATTCGCAGCAGCAGCAGCAGCAAAAGCCGCTGCTTCAGTTGCCGCCATCGCCACCGTTCGATTAGCAGTTTCGAACTCGGTCGAGCTTTCGGAATGTGTCGTTCAAGCTCGAACGCTTCTAAAACGTTCGTACAAGTATGAACACTTTGTTGTCGCTCCTCCTCCGACGCCGCGCGTTCGCATCGGTGACGTCGGAGTCGTCATCAATGGTGGAATGAATACAAGCTGCCGTGACTCGTCGTCAATGGAACGAACGCCCTCTCGTCGGAAGCTCTCGCAGCGGCGTGCTCGCCGGGTTGCGATGCCAAGTTCGGTGGAGAATGATCCTCGAGTTCTTATGCTGGAAACGCATATAATCGCTGACCCTTGTCAACAAAGGAAACACATGAAAAATAGTTCCTTTGAGGAGACAGCTCCAAAAATTGGGGACATTCTGACTCATCGGCCCATAATTGTCCCGTCATCATTGTCAGTGCTGAAAAGCGTCAATGAAGCCTTCCTCTCCATAAAAACGCCGCCTACACCATTGGGAGCGCCTCCACCTGACTCTGACTTTTATAAACATAAAAAAATACCTATGTTTCGAACCTTGTTCCCCTCACCTGTCCGGTCACATTCTATTTGTGCATTCCAGGGGGGAATCGGGACCGAGTCGAATATAGGCACGCACCTACTTGGGTTTCGGAATATTTAATGACTGTTCTTATTGTTCGCTTTCCAGGTGGTATCGCAAGAAAGACGACAAAACCATTCCAATTACCTCGCCGACCATCGAGCAGATGCGCGGAGTGCTTCAATTCAACGCGCCCGAGGTTCATGATACAGGAAATTATGTCTGCGTGGTGTACAATGACGTTGGAGAGACCCAAGTCACGATGAAGCTTATCGTTAGAGGTAAGATTTTCTCCCCGCTCCCCGCTCCCCACTGACCTTCAGCCACGTCGATGCGAATCTCAATGAATTCGATTTATCGTTCAAATTCAAACTCATGAAGGAATCTCCGAAGACACTGCGTGGCACGCAGCCCGCACGACATTTCGCGCGTTCTGCGACCGCGCGCGAGATGCAAGCTCTAGAAATTCTCTACGAGCCGTGCTCTCGAGATCATGGAGCCGGAAGCTCACTCCGTAGGGGTCGAGACCCCCGACGTGTCGAATGGAGGTCGGAGGAAACCATGGGAGCTCCCTGTCGCAGCTCAGAACAGCGTATGACCGAAAAACGTTCGCGTCCGAATGCAGGCACGGAGCGCTCCGATTCTCGTGCCGGGGAAATTTCGCTGAGACTGAGAGTTCAAACACCGCGCTTAATTGTTTGAGATGACCGTATGGATGCGGCCGAATACATCCACGGATAGCGCCCTGTAGGAGTCTTATCTATGGGAATCACGCTAATTCCAATGGAAGAAAATCGCAGCGACTCAAACTTAAGGCAGCACCGGTTTCCCCCTTCCGCCCTTCCCCAACGAGAGAGGGGGACTGGGAAGCGAGGGATTGGGCTACCGCCTCCTCCGTCGGTTGGCGTGTCGAGCGCGGGGAAAGGAGAATGTCTCCACAAAAATGCGAGCGGGACTAGCTTGCCTGTCTGCCTCGCCGCTCGCCCGCCTGCTCTGAGAAGCTAGCGAAGCCAAAAACACGTTCAGCCTCCGCCGCCATCACGTCCTTCTTAATAAGGAGGGCAAGAATGGTGGTTCATTTGCATTTTTCATGGACATTTCAGTCTCCTTAGGCAACACACTCGCAGTCAAGCGACCAACCAGCAGGCGGGTGACCGTCGAGAAGAACATCCCATCGAATGAACGACTCCGTCTCACACATTCGCCACCGGCTTCGAAGCGTTGTGCGTCTCGGAGCCGTTGCAGCTATTCATGTCGCCCCGTCTCAGCCGCGGTCGCACTCGATTCCTCAGTCGGTCGTCCCTCTTCGGCTCGGGACTCCGGCCATTCTCAGCTCGAGCTCCTCGAGTTTTCCTGTTCGGACGAGAAGAACCTGTGCGTTCGGAAATGTCTTGATTCCGAACCTGAGAGGGCCATCGCCGAACCTGCTGGGACGGAAATCGACGGAGGGATCCCGGAAACCTCAAGGAGAATGAAGTCGTGACACCACTCCGTCTGTTTGAGAGCGTGTTCGGTTCCTCCATTTGTTGGTGTTGTCCCCTATGCCGTGGATGTTCGTCCTCATGCGAACCCCAGTAGTCATTCGCCGCAAATTGCCAACTTTCGAGACCAACGCGGCTGACGTTGTTGTTAGTGGCATTCTCGAAAGGATCTAATTTAGCTTCCGCGACGAGCAACGACGAAAGAGCCGTCGTAGTCGTCGTTGTTGAAGTAGTGGCTGCCAGGAGGCAGAAAGGAAGCGAGTCTCCTGATTTTAAAGCGAGAGACCGAGACTCCTTCCTTGCAGTTTGCGTCGTCGACGCTGTCCTTCCTCCTACTTCATCGTCGTCTTCGTAGGAGTCCTCGTTGTCGTCTTGTCAAAAAAGCGGCCGGCGTGCCAACTTCGGAATTAGCATATTTCATACAGCTAGAAGGAGAAAAAAAGGGGGAAAAAACGAAAGAGAGGAGGACCGAAAGTGAAAAGTCGCTTCCATCTTCGTCGTCGCATATTCCATTGTGGTGCGAGGACAGCGTTGGCGCGTGTAGCTCGCCGCTACACCATACAGCCGAGAGGCGGAATGGGTTCGGGGGCCGTTCTAAAAATAATAATTCACTGCCACCAGAACAATGGAGATCGCTCCCAGGATCCAACGTTACGTTATTCGGTATGCCTTAATTGCGGAACGCTTGCATTTTATAAGGACTTGACTATCTTCCTCGAGTGGTTGAGCTCTACTCAGGCGTCGCTTCCGCTCACCATCGATGTCTACCAAGGAGCGTTCCTGTAATAACAATCCAGATCGGAGACAGCTCATGACCTGTCAACGATTTCTCGCTGAAACCACTCCGGGAAATCTTCGAAATAATTTCGCACATTCAGGATAATTCCGGAAAAATCTTCAGAATAATTCCGGAACATTCTCAGAATAAATTCAGAGAATTCTCAGAATACTTTCGGAGAATCTACAGGATAATCCCGGGAAATTTGGGGAAAATCAAGCGATATATTCATGCCTATGAATGCCATGAATGTGAACTATGAACCCGGGGAGCGAATCATCGGCGCATTGAACGGAGTAGTGGTGACCAATCCATGCGTTAATGTTAAGAACGCGCTCCATCGGAATTTAATTCCGGCAAACGACTCGTCGTAACGATCACTGGCGTCGTCATCGTAAGCAGTAATCGACGATATGGCGATGACGATTAAGAGCAAGAGAGAGCGACTCACTCAGCGGAATACAAACGTGCAGCGCTCGACAAAGAGAAGCATGGCACGGGAACTACCACCGGAATAACGCCGCCGACAAAGTCGAGACGAGGGCAGTCATGACCATGAACGGCGCAACACCAACAACAGCGGCGAATGACAGACAATTGCCGTCCGCCGGTCGGACGAACGCCCGCCCGCCCGTCCAGCTGCCTCTTTGCCTGCGGAGCCGAAATAAGGCCCAATGTGTTTCCACTTGAGTGGCGAACAAATGTAAAATATATTCTCCCGAGCAAACAAGCCAAACAGCCGGTCAGATGGCCCGTTTGTCCCTCCGACCGTCCGTCCGCCCGCTCGCCCTACTAAGCCGACGCGCCTCTGCTTGTCCCCTAGCGCCCCGCGGTCGCTCTCACGCTGCCCACCCGCCGCGGCGTCCAACGACTAGCGGCCGCTAGTATATTATCGCATTGCGGACCGAGCGGGTGGCCGGGCGTCTGAGCAAGTGAGTAGCGGCTGGCCATACTTTGGTCAAAACGGCCTCCGCTATAAAGCTACGTGAACCGAAAGGAACGTACTTTCCTAATAGCCACCGCCCCCCCCCCCTCCTCCCGCCACCA